AAAAAAAGAAATTCTACCTTTGTGTTCCACGAACAAAGTTATACAGGATCTTTTTTCCCACCACAAAAATTTGTTTTAGATAAAAAATAATTGCTGGAGCCCCTGCAGAGGCCCTAGGGCTTACAGACCCCTTATTAAAAAGCTCTCATTAGCTAAGGGTAAAGGAGTATTTTAAACTTCTAAATGTCAGTAGTGGTTGTTGTTATTTTTTGCTCAGTGGGACTCAGCTGAGAGTTATATAAGGGATTGTTCTCTCAGGAATTCTAGTCTGATAAAAACAGATGGACTGATGGTTCCACCGCTTTGCTCTGTCTGACTCGGGCTGTAAGTATAGATCCTCCACAGGCTGTGATGACTCGGGGGGGGGTGTTGCGCTGTGAGAGGTTAGAATAAGGTCTCTGTTCTCTGTTTCAGGGACTATGTGCGCAGTGAACTGGAGTCAGGCTGTGAGGGCCCGCTGTACCTGGAGCCTCTGTCCATCAACCGCTTCACTACTGCGCTCATCTGTAAGTGCCTTACAAAGTCTCCAAAGCATCTCAGTGGTTGTTGCAGGATTGAAAGGAAGGGATTAAAATGTAAGCAGTAAAACAGTATTCTTTTTTCATTAGAATAATGTGCACTGATGAATTAGTGCTATTAGGGCTGTCCGATATAATACCAAAATTAAATATTATTTTTTTATATTTAATTAGTGTAATTAATTATTAATAAAATAATATAATTTGTTTAAATATTCATATATATAATATTTATCAAGCATAAAAATAAGATTTTTTTTCTATTTAAAATAATATGCAGTCATGCACTATGACTATGAAGTTGTATTAATAAGTTAAACCGGGTCAGTTCTGATTTCATGTTGACTTCAATTTAATGTTCCAAGTCACGTTCCTGTTACGTGTGAGTCCCATACTGACTCATTACAGCTCTTATTCAGTCGGAACGTGTGCTCATGTAGTGTCATTCTGGGGAGAGTTGGGTAGTTTTGCATGTCTTGAGATGTGACGTCAGAGCTCAAGGCATTTCCCACTGTTGTTCCCGTCTCATATGCCGCCTGCCCTGAACCACACTGTGCAAAAGCCAGAGATGCAGCTTTCATATTTTCCCCTCTCATCACTTTTTCTATAAGTACCATCCTTTGCAAGTTTAATGTCAAAACCACTCCTGCTCACTTCCTATATTAAATTTTTTCGCACTCACAAATACTGTATGCCCTTCCTCTTATTTGTAATATGTCATCTTCTCCCTCACTCTCTCTCACTTTCCATCCCTTCCTCTGACTTTCTTGCTTTCTCATCAACTATATTTTTTCACTCTTTCTCTTTCTGTTACTCTTGACATTTATACCATTAGGGAGATAAATCTCAGTCACTACCCAGAACATATCCTGGTCATTTTCACCTTATTATAATAATAATAAATGACACGATTTGCATAAGTAACACTTTACAACAAAGTCCCATTAGTTAACATGCATTAACTAACAATTGTTTAGAACTGGCTAGCTTTACTGAAACTGCAGACATTTTTATGGTTTTTATTTATAAATGTATTAATACATTTAAATTTTTTGTAGTACATAGAAAAGATTATGCATATTTTAAAAATAATTGACAGTAAACATCTGTAGGTCTTTTGAAGATAATATTCCCATCTTTATTTATAGTCTTTATTTATTGTTTTAGGTTTGAAGGTTTGAACCAATCCATAAATATAATTTGTGAAAAAGTAAAAATAAAAATAAAA